TCCGGGAGGCTGGGGGCGACGGCAGGGAGGGCCCAAAGAAACTACCCCAGAGGGGGGAGGAAGAGGAGGAAGAGGAAGAGGAGGAGGAGGATGAAGAGCTAATGGAGGAGCTGGAGGGCGACTCCAGCTTCCAGCAGGCAGGAACAGAGCTCATCTTTTAGATTTAACCAAAAGCTAATGGGAACTCTGACCGTTAGCCCGGTTCTTTAGCTGGAAGATGGGGAACATACCAGAGCAGATCAAGAGGACAAATATGACATTTATTGGTCACAACAAAAGGTTTACACAAAACACTTTTCACAATCGATTACGTCATATATTTTGTTAAAAAAAGAGTGGGATTAAGGCCTCCCCGTTCTGGACTCCTGCCCCCGAACCAGAGAAGTAGGTAGGACTGGGAACCAGGAAGTAGTCAGCAGGAATGGAGACTGTTAGTTCGATTATTTAGTTGGAAGCCTGAGAATAAACCGGAGCAGATCAAGAGGACAAATATGACATTTATTGGTCACAAAGAGAGTTAATTAGCTGGGCTCTCACAGACAAAACCTCCCGGAGGATCTCAGTTAGCAAAGAGCCTCGATTTCTGAGTGTGATGGACAGTTTTCCTGTGGACCTCGAAAAGGAGGACGAGTGTTATTGGGCAATTAGCTCTGACATTTAATGACCAAATGCACTCCTCCAGGTACTCTATATCGATTAGTGAGCCGTTCCCAACTGCTGGTTTTGAGGTTATTGAATGGATTTGTAAAGGCAGACGTCCTGGTAGAAAACTCACCGAATAATACGCTAAAAGATTTGCTAACTTCTTCGTCTTGTTAGCCCGATTCTTTAGTTGGAAGCCTGAGAATAAACCAGAGCAGATCAAGAGTAAAAATATGACATGTATTGGTCACAAACAGAGTAAATCAGCACTGGGCTCTCACAGACAAAGTTCCCGGAGGATTTCAGTTAGCAAAGAGCCTCCATTTCCGGGTGTGATGGACAGTTTTCCTCTGGGTTCGAACAGGAGGACGAGTGTTATTGGCCAGTTAGCTCTGACAGGAACAGGCCAGGTCCTAATTCATGCAGGTTTCAGTGGAATGTGATAAGAAAGTGTGAATGTTGACTTTGAAGAGGAGTATCTACTGTAACAGAGAGAGGAGGAAGAGGAGGCACAGCCAGAGAGTTTAACCCAAAGGTATAATCATAAATAATATGAATCTAGACAATCAGTCATTTACAGGGATTAAGTTGTAGCATGCTATGCTAAAATTATAGCCCATTTCTAACCAGATAAAGCCAGAATGGATTTGCTCAGTCAAAAGTCACCCATATGTCGGTTAGCTATAGCTAGAAAAATGACTGATGAACAGTTCTGAAAAAAAATGAAAGAACTAAGAAGGATTAACAGGTTCGAGAAAGAATAAGTATTAAATAAAGAGCCCCAACTTAAATGATGAAATATAAAATAGACAGCATAAGAGTAGTAAATAGTTAACTATAAGACTGTAAAGAATATAGATACCATTTAGCCATATAGTTACCAACATATCGTGCTAAAGTGAGTAATTATAGCCCAATTCTAACAGGACGAAGGCAGCCAAAGAGTTTCCATTTTCCACGAATATGAAGCCAGTTTGGAAAAAGGAGGACGTCAGAAATGGCTGAAGGCCGGAGAGGAGCTGGAGCTAAGTCAGGAGCAAAAACACAGAAAATGTCCAGTTCTCTCTCTGAAACACGATGTGAAATGAAGTGATCTGATTGAGACAGCAGGTGGCAGCGTTTCAGAGAAAACAGCAACAGGCAGAAGCAGGTTCCCTTATCAGGGACAAAAGCCATGCTAACCGCATCCTCTTTAAATAAAAGGACAAAAAAGAAGCTGGTTCTTCATCTCCTCGAGCATCTGAAACCAAAACTTTTGAAACAACTCCTTGAAATCTGAAATCTGAGCTTTTCTGTGTGTTTAACTTTAAACGTACGCTAACGGTGTGTTACAGGAAACGAGCAGGTTTAGTTCACCGACCACCCAAAAACAAAACATCCCAAAAGATGACCGATCAAATAGATAGATAAATAAATAAATAAATAAATAAATAAATAAATAAATAAATAAATAAATAAACAAATAAATAAATAAATAAATAAATAAATAAATAAATTGATAAATAAATAAATAAAT